TCTTGTAGTTTATATTATATATATGGGGATAATTAGAATGATAAATCAATACACATTGATTTTCAATAATAAATGGGCGATGATCAGCAATGATTTTGATTGTTATTATGCACACTAAAAAACACAAATAGATAAACGTATTACTATTGATAAGGAGGAAGTGATTGTTGATTAGGCGAACTTGTGGATGGTTTAGTACATGCAAGTGGAAGCTCCTCAGGATGGACTTGAAAAAGATGGCGATTCATCCGCTTGTTGTTGATGATCCGAGGGAATATAAGCTATCTCTGGATGGCATTACATGGTATGGTTGAGAATGATAAGTTTCCATTGTTTCTTTAAGTCTCATTAGTGAATTGGTAGTAGAACTTGTAGCTATTGTTTCCATTTGTGATACCATTACTTTCACTGACCTGTTGCTGTAAGCTGTGAGATAACAATAACTCATGAGTTTGATGCTCAGGATAAAATGTTTGAACTAATTGTTCTTTTTAACAAATTAGGTGTTGTCTTAGTTGTTCTATGAACTTCTAAATGAAGGGATTGGCAAGAAGAATTCACAAAAATGGTCCAGTGGAATTTATTGCAAAGTAATGTCATTAAGGCTACCTACATCATTACCACCTGTGCCTTTACTTTCACACTATCAAAATAACCTCACTCGCTATCACAATGTTGTGTTTCTTGAGATCTAGTTAATATACAAAAATGGCGGTATACAATTTGAAGGTTCAAGAGGAGGGGGGTAAGAATATTAAGAATAAGCTTTTTTTATTATAAATATTCGCATTGGGACACATATCACAGTTCTGGATCATTTAGTCATTCCAGGATTTTTTTTTTCAAAGCTTTCTATATTAGATTTTAGTCTATTATAGCCCAGTTTCCCATATGAAGTTTCATCAGAAGATATAATAATGATAATTAACTATTTATAATGTTATTATTGTGATATCTTTTTTTTATTATTAGAAAATATAATCCATGTTGAAATGATAATTTACTGTATGTGTTAATTTGTATCAAATATTGACTTTATAATTTTTATAATAATTTAATAAATTTATCTTGAATTTATTCTCTTTATGATTATATGAATTTATTACTCAAATACCAAACACTATTTGTAGAAAATGAAGGTGGAGCTGTTGGATTTGACTGTGGAAAATATATAATTATAAATTATAAATTATGAAAAAAATTTTTTTTAATAACAAAATAATTGAAAATAATACTAAACGGTTTGTCCATAAAGGCTTCCAGTTAATCTTCTATCACGCTCCATCATCAATTTATCCCAACGATCTAATTGAAATCTTTCCGGCTACAATGAATAAAAATATATTAATAATAATAAATATTATAAGTAGTAAAATCATATAATGATAATAACTAGGAACAAAAATTTAAATTCAAAAAATATTTGTTTACCTTCCAATCATGTTGATATCTTCTAGATAAATTTATTAATGTACCAGTAACTCCAAACATTCCAATTATTATACCTAACAAAATATATACACATATAAAATTGTTTTATAATTTGGTTTAACAAATAATAATGAGAAAATGAATAAATTGTTATTACCTAAAGGTATAATCGCTTCGAAAGGAACTGGCATTTTGGAAAATAATTTTTGTATCACTATAAAGCATAGTGGACATTCGCTTTATCACACATAACAAAATCAATTGTTGATCTTTTTTATTAGGGCACAAAAACTTGTTTAACCTGAGATACGTTTCTTTAACAGTGAAAAAATGATCATACGATCAAAGGGTTATATAGGAACTATAATTTCGGGCTTCAGCGATCGACTTGAGTATATTGTAAGGCATTCTAGGCTCAGAATCCTACATCTTGTTTTATAATAATAATATGTTTATTTAAAATTTAACCAATACTAAAGCATTTCTGAAATCATCTGTTATTTCACTATTGTCATCTTCATTTTCTTCGTTTAATATTTCATCAAATAACAAATCATTATCTTTTTCTCATCTATTTATATAGGATTTTACATGAGACAACATCCTTTTTATAAAATTCCAAACATTTATGATGATAAGCATGACCATATATTAACGTTACCACCTTCTTGTTCATCCTCTTTGATCATAATAATCATAGTTATTATTAGATGGTAGTTTAGAACTAACCAGCTGGTAAGCATTGTAATTTTAATCACATAAAATAATATGAATGTTAATAATAACAACAACAGTAATAATAATAATGGATATTATTATTATTATTGATGAAAAATGGAGAGAAAGAAAATAGGAGAAGGCTACCTGTAAATAAATATTATTATGAATTGTAATCAAGATTTTTTGTTATAATAAACTTGATCTACTAAATTCTTGGATAATTTTTTATTTTATTATATATAGTGCAAGAGTTATTTAAACACACATGTGTATATATATCTTTTAGGGGACCAATGTGCTAGCAGTATTACAATGGCCATCAATACATATGTATAATATATATATCTGTAATTTAGTTGCTAAAAATTCTCTTCAACAGATAATAATAATTCAAAAAAAAAGGTGATTGATAACAAACAAAATTGTTTTATGTGTTATATGTGGATCAGATTGAATAGGCAATCTTACTGACAAAAATAGTTTTGGGTATTGGATTTAATTATTTGAGTGTTAATTATTATTTTCTTTTATTCAAGAGAATTGTTTGAAAAGTAGGTCGCTTATACGTTTTGATTAATCAAGAGAATGTTATTAACATAAAAATGTCACTACTCCAATTAATTATATTTATATAATAATAATAAATAATAGATCATTTTTATTAACAAGTGTAAATTTATTGTTAATATATAATAGATATGATGATTTTATGTAACTACTTTTACCTCCTTCGATACCATTATTTTTGTTTTCAAACTTGCGTAATGATTTTCAAGCCAATAAAATTTTAATTTTTGCGTGATATCTGGAAGGGGAAATCGTCACAAAATTCTGCCAATGAAATCAAATGTCCACTATGATAAATCCCGATTTTTTGAAATCTGAATTTTTCACAAAACGCATTCATTCATTCATTCATTCATTCATATAAAAAGAATTTCAAGCAAAAAAAATGTCATTACCAGACTCAAATTCATCATCAAGGAACGCAAACAGTTTTAATTATGATAATAGTGTTATCATTAGCAGTAATAGTGGAAAAAAAGACAATCGATTCATTCGTGGTCTTAAAGAAAATCCATTGGTTGTTGTTGGTTCGCTTGTTTCATACCTTTTTCTTAATTTATCATCCTAATTTAATTATTACTACTACTATTACTGCTACTATAATAATAATAATTCTCTTATTTCTTTTTATTCAACATAAGGCCTTACCGTGACAATTGGTGCTTTGGTTGCTAGTGCTGCAGCATTTCAACGTGGCGATTCAGCTAAAATGCAAAAAATGATGAGACTTCGTGTCGGTGCTCAAGGTTTCACTGTAGTTGCAATTTTGGTGCCGACTCTTTATTATAGTTTTTATGGCGGCAGTGTTCGTAGCAATGGCGGTGATGCAAGTAGTAATGGAGGTAGTGGTAGTTGGATTAATAACAATAATGAAAATAATAACAACACTAATAAAGGTAATAATATTCATTTTTATTTTTTATCGAGTGGGGGGAATTATTAATAAAAATTTAAAACAATATTTTTTCTTCGTTACCTTTCTAGAATGAATATTATATCAAGAGATTTATGCAAATATACGTTATAATATATCAAAAATATTGAAATTTTTATACATTAATCACTTTTTTTTTTTTTTTTTGGAAAAAAAATAAAATGCTAGCAAATCATCTAATTTAATCTAATAACAAAAAAAATTTTATATTCTTATTATTATTGATTGATAGTTTCACTATTAAAAAATTTAAAAAATTTATAATTATCAACCCGTATGAAGAAATCTGCAATCATTACCTAGAATACACTTCCCAAATTTATAATACCAACATTCTGATCCTCTTCCACTAACTGGTCTACCGTTGCTAGTTCCAACCAAATCACATCTACCTCCTCTAATATTATTGTTGTTGTTGTCGTTATTCTTATTATTATTTGTATTAGGATTTGTACCAGTAGCTGTAGCAGCTGTAGTTGATTGTGATTGTTGTTGATGGTTTTGTTGATCATTATTGTTAACACCATTAGCAATATTAATAAATTTCGAAGGTTGTGTAGCTGAAGGCAATTGATACTGGGCAGAAAATTGGAATTGTGATGAAACAAATATTTTACTATTAAGGTCCTGTGGGTCCTGTGTAGGCGATGCCGGTAATGGACAATAGTTTGGTTGAACATTTGAAGCAGAATTATTATTATCGTCATAATAAGGAAATTGAAATGATGGTTGATTTGGTTGTGAAAATTTTGGTAATTGATATGGTTGCGATTGATATGGTGTTGGAGGTTGTAATGGTTGTTGTTGTAAATGCGATGGAGGGACTAAGTCTGGAGTAGAAATAGAAGCATTTGAATCATAATAATTTGGAATAATTTGATTGTTATTATTATTCTTACTACTAGCAGCATCAATTCTTCCTGGTATTGGCATTGCTGCCAAACCAACATTAAAATCATCGGAAATGTTTTGGTTTGGCTCATAACTCCATGTATTAGGATTTGGAAGTTGTTGAACAGTTGCAATGGGTGGCATTTCGTTAGGATGAGCTTCAAACCACATAGAATAAGTATTTGTTATAGCCTTTTTCAATTCACGTCTTTGAGTCAGCTGATCGTTAGCTGGTCCATCTGGATCAAATGGAATTTTTTTGGGCTCCTCTATCTTTTTAGATGTTGAGACGGCGAATAGTAAGTCTTGCGATTCGTATGGGTTTTCAGGAACTTGATCAACCGTAGGATAAATAACTTCTAAAGTTTCTTCTTCGCGACTTTTTTGAATTATTGCTTCTAGGCTATCCACTATAACATTAGAATCCCATATCTTTTTTCTCTTTTTCTTATTAGTTAGTCGTGGCCTTATGAATAATGGAGTATACCATCTTGTGTATGGTGTTTTTCGTAATCTTTTCAAAGCAACTTTTCTCTCACGACGATCGAGGTCTCTAACATCCTCAATATCACGAGAAGAACAACCACTACCAATGGTGCTTAATGTAACATCTTTTATACCATCAGAACGTTCATTTCCAAAATATTTTACTTGTGCAAGCATAAAATCTGGGGCAAAGCTTACACGCTTCCTTTTCTTTGAAAGGGTTGAAGGTTCGCATGTTTCAATTTGATTTCCACCAACAGGAGATGATGACGGCAATAACGATGATGTGATGATGGTAGTAATAGCAGCGTTACTAGTTTTTGTCTGAATATTTGTATTGGCATTTTTTAATGACTGATGATCGACCATAAAAGATGAGGGAGAAGTTGTGGAGGTGGAAGGAAGATCAAATATATCATCAAAAATACCTTTTACAACAGAATTAGTCGATTCTTTTTTTATTTCGGTCGTTACTGAACCATTATCATTTGATTTAGAACTTTTTGCGGGAACAAGGATATTATTTCCGGCTGTAGATTCAGGCATTTTTTTAGCATCTTGTAACCATCTGTTCAATAAATCAGACGCGATCTCGGCAACACCTGGTATGTTCGATTCCTTTACCAATTTATTATTGACAACTCTACCCAGGCCACAACTTGTCGACATTTCCAAATCAATTGATAGATGTTGTACAGTTTTCAATAGTTTAAAAAGTAAATAGCTATCAGGAAACTTTGCCTCTTCTTTTATCCAATTTCTTAAAATATAACTACATCTTTCTTTTACTAGCTTTTGTAAAATTACCGGATCACGCGTTTGATTTATTATATTGATAATATGTTCTCGATTATTCCTTGATACATCTTTAACTTTACAAAGAAAATCGTAAACATAGTCAACAGATTTTATGCCCAGATCGTGATTCAAATATTCACCAATTTTTGTAAAAAGTTCGAGTGTTACTTTTGTTAGAGATGTTCTTTCTGGAGTTGTTGTAGTTACTGCTATTGGCATTGAAATTGTTTCTTTTATTTCTGCTTCTTCTTCTTCTTCTTCTTCTTCTTCTTCTTCTTCTTCTGTTGTTGTTATTTGACCAAAAGAAACAACATCACTAGTAATACTGTCATTAAAAACCATTTGTGTGGTTTTAAATTTTGAAATGAAAATTCTGAGGTAAATTTATTTGGTAAAAAATTTGTTTGTTGTTTAGCTTGCAATTTCGCTTGTACTTCTTCTTAAACTGCTATGGTTAATATTAGAAGAAGTAGCACTATTTGATTACAAATTTTTGCATACAACTTTTATTGATTGATTAATTGATTGGTTAAGGTTGATTGGTTAATTGGTTTACTAATTAATTGAGAATTTTTTTTCAATCATTTTTGTGTATATATATATTAATTAATATATAGATAGTAATAGTGAGCATACATTGTGTGGATCATTGAAGAGTTCTAAAATTATGTCAATAAGGAAAGGAAGGCTTAGATATTGATTGTCTAAGCCAAATGTGTAAAATATATAGATAGATGTGTATATAATTTTTATCTTTAAAAAAAAAAAAAAAAAAATGGATCAAAATAAATATACTTATGAACCAAATTCGATGAAAAAACACGATAATGTTGACGACAATGATGATGATTTAAAAAAGTTAAAACTAAAAGATACTATAATAAATATTCACGAAGTCAACAATAATGAAAATGAGAATTATTATAATGATAATAAAATCATCGTAAATTATATTTTAAATATTTTATATAATGCATTCGTAGCGATTTTAAATCTAGTAATGTTAGTTGGAAGTATCGTATTGTGTCATATGATTATCAAAGTATATATTAATATTTTTTACTCGTTAAATAAAACTATTTTTTTTCGAAATTAAGTTTATATTAATATAATCGTTTGATAACTTAGAATGCAAAAATACCAAATTTCACATTTATATCTAAAGAAATGATTTTGATATATATTATTGTTGAAATTTTGGTAAGAATGTTAGGTATTATTCAACTCAATGAATCAATGAGCAAATTAAAAAATGGTTTACTATTGAATTTTAAAGAAAAAGCCGGAATGATATTAGGTGTGTTTAATTATGTATTGTATATATTGTATCTTAATAATCTGTTTCCTAATTCCCTAATCTTTTTTTAAATTTAAAGCAAAAAAGGAATTTTATATTCTTTATGGAAGAAAAAGATTATCTTTACTTCAAATTTTTGAATTATCAAACGTATCAGATAATACAAGTTTAATATTGCCAATTTATTTTCTAATTAAATCATTTATAATCTCTCGGAAACCAATTGAATTCAGTCCATTATTAGGAACAATAAAAAAATCGAATTACACTATTAATAACAATAGTGGTAGCAATAGCAGTAGTAGTATTAGTGAAGTTGATATTTTTAATGTTAAAACAATTCAGTTTAAGATTGAAGCTTCATTATTGCTAATTTCAACATTTTTAATGATAATTAGATTTGTGTTCTATTATAAAACCACAACAAAATTAGAAGAACAATCAGAAGAACAACAATTTTCTTTATCATCAAAATACACTCATAAACATGGTAGTAATGGATTTGCTTCCTTACTTATTCCCTTGCTGGATTTAGTAGATTTTATTAATTTACATTATATGCTTTATTATTGTGGTCTTTTGATCAATAGTTTATATAATTCGCTTAGATCATTAATTAGATCATTGGTTAGAGTAATTAATATGTGCTGCTGTAAATGTGACTTTAAATGCATTGAGGAAGGAGAAGAAAGGTGTGATGTCATTTGTGGATGTTATTGCTGCATCATCGCCTGTGATGCTACAATGTGTTGTGCGTGGCATGACTGTTGTTCCGACGTTTATCTATTTTCCGGAATCTGTTCAAGATGTTGTAATCGCTCAGGACATAGAAACCATTCAGGAAGTGGCGACTGTTCAGGAAGTGGTGACTATTCAGGAAGTGGTGGCTGTTCAGGATGTTGTGATTGTTCAGGATGTTGTGGCTGCGGTGACTGTGATGACTGAATAAATTAATGTAGAAAAGGTCTATTTCTCTATACATATTAATATGCATCTTAGAAAATTCGAAATATTTAATCGAAGAATTCTTTGTATATTAATATATAGGACGTAGATCTATACGATTAAACGATGTTTGTGATTATGTAATTTTTTGTGCGTGCTTTTTTTTTAATCATATAAAATTATGGTTTTTATCGTATTTCCTTATTTCATAAGAAACATTCTTCACCAATTATGTTTTTATTTTATTTGACATTTTGAAATTTTATTTATACATTTTAAGTTTCTTTAAGGAAAACAGCTCTCGTAAGTTTTCACTGGTTATACAAACAATTTTACTTGGACTTAGGATATGCAATTTTTGATAATAATAAACAGAGTGCCCGAGTGGATCATAACATAAATTGCTCGATATAATATAAACCTCTTTATATTATAAGTATATAATGAAATTTGTCCTGTTTCCATTATAATAAATTAAAGTCAAAGGACTCCGTGATGGTATGGTAAGAGTTTTCTCCTCTGATATGATTGCCTGAGGAAGCTCAATTGATCATTCTTTACTTCATATGCGCTGATTTTGTTTGGACCCCAAAATCCAGTACCCCATTGGTTTTGAGGCGGGCCCATTGGTTTGATCAAATATATAGTAAAATAGTTTTTTTAGCGGAGCAAATAAATTTTTTGGGGGTTAATTATCATTATATTGACCAGTTTACACATTATGTTTAACGTGTTTAACGTCGAGATATATATTAATATATAATGTTTGAAAAAAAAGGATCCAAAAAACCAAATTGGCTGATATGTTTATTATGAAATTCGTGTTACCCAAAAATCGATTGTCGCGTTGGGATATTAATATGAATTTCATGGGGAATTGTGACCTTTATCAGTTAAAAATATTGTAGAAATGTCTATCTCAAAGTCAACAACACATTGTAATATGGGGAGGAAAAGTGTATAGTTGAATGGTGGAGAGGCTTCGGGTAGAAAATAATTCACACAAATAATTTCTGATAATATTAAAGTTATGAATAGCATAAAAATGAAGTCACCAAAAAGTTTAATTTTTTCAATTACAAAATAATAATTATGAAAATTCCCAAGAACCACAATCTTCACAATACTCGTCATGATCACATTCTACAACATCATTATCATCATCACCAATCCATTTTTCAATAACATTTTTAATGAATAAAAGTAATGAATGATTCTTGATTTCTGATCTCCATCCAAATTTAGAAATTGTATCATATGAACAAGTATTTCCTGTATGACATTTTGTCTCCATCTAAATACATTTATTTCATTTCAAAATCTATTAATATTAATATTATTAATATTATATAAAATAAATAAAAAAACAAATATATTTACAGCATATCCAAAATGATAACATGTAGAAGCTAATCCATTACATTCGCCCATAAATACAGGGTCCCCTGTGTGACCAAAATGGTATATCGGTAATTTATATGAATCAGTTGTATCTAAACCTAAACGCTTAGCATATAATAAATCACCAGGAGCTTGAAATGTTACAGCAGGAACTTTATATTTAAGCGCAACTAGTGAAGCAAGTGATCCACCTATTATCAAAAAGTATATAATGATTTTTTTTTAAATATTAAAAAGCATATTATATATTTTTCATATTAAAAATTAATTATTACCAAGTGAATGACCAGTCAACCATATTGTTGAATTAGGATAATTTTTTTGGGTTTCTTCATAAATTCTCTTTTCAAATTCAAATTCACATTAATCAACAACAACAACAACAGTGACAATAATATAAATATAATATTTACCAAAGCATTACTATAATAAGTATTCTTTTGATAAACTTCGCTACTTATACATGTTGAATTACATTGTTGTCCTTCGATATGGCAGCCACAAACACCATTCCAAAGAAAATCAACTTTTGCACAACAACATGAAAACATCAAATTATCCTAAATTAATCAATTAAATCAATAACGATAACGATAACGATAACGATAACGGTAATGATAATGATAATGATAATGATAATGATGATAATAATAAAATATTTACAATATATTTATCATTTCCTGCTGTTGGCGCATCTCCGTTAATCCAATTTATACTAGTTCCTTTTATACCAATAATAACTGTTGAATTTGATTCATCTGCATAAACATAACCTCTAATTCCGTTATCTTTCCATCCAAATGGTAGTTTCTATTGTGAATGTGAATTTGTGTGTGTGGTGAAAAAGTTTTTTGGGAAATTTATTTATTTATTTTTATTTATCTATACTTACATCCCAACTTCCACTCAAAATTACCCATTGGTCTGTTTCGTCTAAATCAATATATGCATCATATGACATTTTTGCTAAGCCAAGAATTATTTTTTTATCTTTTGGGTTTGGCAAACTTTTAGTTTTCTTATTTAAAAGTGACATGAAAATTTCTTTAAAATGCAACATTGAAGCTTCAATAACATCAATAATATAAGTAGAAACCCAATTTTTATTTTCATCAATGTCTAAACGAATGAATAAATTGTCTGCGACAGTATCAACACCATGATGAAAAACGTGTTTCAATTGAAAAGTTTTACTAGTTATTTGCTTGAAAGGATCATTTTCTATATTAGAAAATGAGAATTGATATGCTGTTACTACACAATGAAAACTGATTAAAAAAATATATATATAATTAAGGAATGCAAATTTAAACATTGTCTAGTATATAAGAGAGAATACACAAAAAAACCATTTGAAACCTTTTATACTGTAAATTGTCGACATAAAAGGGAATTATTATTATAGTCAAACAAATGTCACGAGAAGTGTAATTAATATATTTATATAAAAAACGAAAGGCGTGTGTAACTTATTATTTTTCCTATTTAAATTCTTGTCTATATGGGGTTTGTCAAGCTTCCAGACAAAAAATCTATTTTTAGTAACAACCCTTATAAATTTGGTTACACATATGTTTTTAATAAAATATTCCAAGCCTTGTATCTCATTTTTCTACTATGCAAACAGGGTCCAATTTTTTCACCAACTGTAAATCCTTTATTAGAGATTATTGTTGAGTAAAAAGACAAAAAAAAAAAAATAGCTGGAAGCTTGATTTCCCTAGTACAAACCCCATATATGTATTTACATTATGACATTAATTAGTTTTGTTGATCAACTTATATCAAATACCCCCACTGACTTATGGAGGGTTGACTGTAGTTGGAATTTTTTTATAGTCGATCTGCACTGTATTACAAGTCCCAATATGTTTTGATCTGCGAGTGAGATAACAGAATTAGTAGCAATGATTTAAAATTTTATTGTTACATTGAAAAAATGTCTAGTGATGAGCAAAAATATGATGATATTCCAAGGGATGTTATAAACAAAAGAATTCAATTTGAGGATCAATTAGCAACAATTCATTATGTTTGCCCTGTCCCACCTACAAAAGGTATATGGTATGGTGTTGAATGGGACAATATTTCAAGAGGAAAACATGATGGTTTACAAAAAGATTTGGATACAATTTATTGGGCTGGTAATACAAAAATAGAGGTTGAGGCTATAGGATGGGAAAAGATTTGTAGAAAACAAAGGTTTAATAATTAAATAATTTTAATTTAATTACTAATAATAGTGAACAATAATTCTATTTATTAACAAACTACTTACATATATACTATATATATTATTAATTATAGGCAATTGGATAGATTGACAGAAGTAGGTTTATCTTTTGAACGAATTTCAAATGCAGGAAAGCCTGGAGAAATCGAAACAACTTGTCCAAGTAATATATATATATTGAAAAACTTTACAAACAAATGAAATAATTTAATATTGGTAATTAAGTATAAAGTTCTTTAGATATAATTGACTTGAATTTGTCAAAAAATCTAATATCTGATTGGGAAACTGTTGCTTGAATTTGTGAACAATTAAAAAAACTGCAGGTTTTAAGATTAAAGTAAGCTTGCTTATCTTCTCCTATCAATCAATTTCATTAATAATTTGACTAATTTTTTTTATTTGATTTTAGTTACAATAGATTTCAAGGGTTAAAAGTGGTTCCTGATTTTAAAATTTCATTTACAAATTTAAAAAATTTATCTTTGAATTATACTAGGATTGAATGGGAACAGGTTTTATTTCATACTAATTAACTAATCAATTAAAATACAAATTATACTCGAAATTCTTATGATTTTTCTTCTTTATAGATTGAACTACTTGAACATGTCTTTTGAATTTGGAAAATTTACAATTAGGTTTTAACTATATTAAAAATTTTGGAGATATTGATGGTGAAAAGGAAAACCAGATAAAAAAAAGCAAGATAAAAGGGTTTTCCAAATTAAAAACACTAAATCTTGAATCTAATATTATTGATAGTTGGGATGAAATTGCTAGATTTTCAGGATTACCACAGTAACTAATTAATTATTATTATCTATTTATATATATATATAATTATTTACCTTTTATCATTATAGGTTGGAAATGCTTTTTATTAGTAATAATTTAATAAACAATATTTATTATCCTAAAGGAGTTGATAATCAAGAGTTTCCAAAATTAAAATATTTAAATGTTAGTGAAAATAAAATCAATGATTGGCAAAATGTTAATGAACTTAATAGGTTTCCTTCATTAGAAGAGTTAAGAATTAAAAAAATCCATTTTTTGATAGTAATGAATTTAATGAATTTTAACATATTGATTATTTTTATGATTATATTTTAATCACCTTACAAATCAATAGCACTTATTTTTGTATCTATAATATAGATATAAAAGCCGATGAAGCATATATTCTAATTGTTGGTAGAATTAAAGAATTAAAAATGATGGATGGAAGTCTGGTAATTATAATCATTAATCATTATTAAAATATCTTTTCAATTTGCTAAACATTAAATCTTATGTATAGATATCATCTAATGATAGAATTGATACTGAAAGATATTATTTGAGATTATGCATCAAGGATTTGAAATCGCCTGATGAAATAGAGAAACACCATCCTAGATTTAAAGAATTATGTGAAATTCATGGTGAACCTACTTTTGATGATAGAAGTTTAAAAGCAACTAGTAGCATGTTGAAAGATAGATTAATCATTATCATTATTATTGTCATTATCGCTAATCACTAATTAATTAATTACAATTCACGGATCAAAATATTTTGATCATAAAAAAATTTTTTTTATAGCTTTGACTATTACCCATAGAAAATCTCTTGATGAAGAGCCAATTAAAATAATATCAAAAAAACTTTTAGGTATTTTTTTTTATAAATATGGATAATAATTATTGTGAATAGAGATAATGATTTCTAATTCAATTTAAGTTTTATAATCTTATTAGGAACTTTAACTTTGAGAAATTTAAAAAATATATTTCAAAAATCATTTGGAATACCAGCATCACAACAAAGATTATATGGAGTTATTAAAGATGAGGTGTTATTTTATTTTATTTATTATTTATTTATTATTTAAATATAATATTTAAAATTTATTAAAAATTGTGTTTAAACTAGACTGTAAAAGGCACTTCAATATCAAAAAAATTTGAAAATTAGATGCAATCAATCAATGATAAAAAATTTTTTTCGTTTAAGTTGTGCTACCGTTTTAATAAAAAAATTTTTTCTTATAAAAAAATAAAAAATAAATTGAATAAATTAGAATTATTTAATATTTATTATAATAATTAATTAATTTTTATTATCATGAGTTATAAAGTTGGTGAGTGAAAAATAAGATAATAGTAATGATTTTTAAATCATAATATTTTAATTTGAATAATGAATCATTGTATATGATTTTATGAATTAGCTGATGTTTCCCTCGCTAGTTGGGGTCGTAAAGAAATTTATATAGCAGAAAATGAAATGCCTGGACTTATGCATTTACGTAAAAAATATGGACCTTCTAAACCTTTAAAGGGTGCACGTATAGCAGGGTGTCTTCATATGACAATTCAAACTGCGGTTTTAATTGAAACACTTACTGAACTTGGAGCTGAAGTAGCTTGGAGTTCTTGCAACATTTTTTCCACACAAGATCAAGCCGCCGCCGCCATTGCAGTCACTGGCGTGCCTGTTTATGCATGGAAAGGCGAAACTGAAGAAGAATATATTTGGTGCATTGAACAAACTCTTTGTAGTTTCAAGGATGGTAAACCTCTTAATATGATTCTTGATGATGGTGGTGATTTAACCAATTTGGTTCATACTAAATTTCCACAATACTTGAAAGGTAAGAAAATTTTTTTTTATAACGATAACTAATTATATCAATAAAAAGAATTATTAAGATGATGATGATTATTATTAATTAATTATTAGATATTAAGGGTGTTTCCGAAGAAACAACAACTGGTGTTCATAATCTTTACAAAATGCTTAAAGATGGACAATTGAAAGTTCCAGCAATTAATGTCAATGATTCAGTTACAAAATCCAAATTTGATAACCTTTATGGTTGTCGTGAATCACTCGTTGATGGTATTAAAAGAGCAACAGATGTACAAATTGCTGGTAAAGTAGCAGTTGTAGCAGGTTATGGTGATGTTGGCAAAGGTTGTTCAGCATCACTTAGAGGAATGGGAGCTCGTGTGATCATTACAGAAATTGATCCTATTAATGCTTTACAAGCAGTTATGGAAGGTAGATAAAATATTACATTGATATTATATTATACTATATAAAAAATTTAAATTAAAAATGCAACATCACATTATAGGTTTTGAGGTTACAACTATGGATGAAGCTTGCTCAAAAGGTAATATTTTTGTAACAACAACTGGTAATCGTGATATTATTGTTGGTAGACATTTTGAACAAATGAAAGAGGATGCTATTGTAAGTAAGTAAGTATCAGTTGATTTTATTCACAAAATTATTATTTTTTTATTTGTCAATTAAGATATTAAAATATTATATTTATCATTTTTTACTAAATCTTTCTCTTTTTTTTTTTGATTATAAAAAGTATTGGACATTTTGATATAGAAATTGATGTGGATTGGCTTAAAAAAAATTCAAAAGAACATGTAAACATTAAACCACAAGTTGACCGATATACTTTAGCAAATGGCAGACATATAATTTTGCTTGCAGAAGGAAGATTGGTAAACCTTGGATGTGCTACAGGACATCCAAGTTTTGTTATGAGTAGCTCGTTTTCAAATCAAGTATTGGCACAAATTGCCTTATGGACAGATAATACATCTTATCCACTTGGTGTTCACATGTTACCTAAAAAATTGGATGAAGAAGTTGCATTAGCTCATCTTGAACCATTGGGTGTTAAACTTACAAAACTTACACAAGCGCAATCGGAATATCTTGGTATAAATCCTAATGGGCCATTTAAACCTGAACATTATCGGTAATTATTTTTATAGTTTTTTTAATTTTATAATGATTATTTATTTATATTAATTGTGTTTTTTTTTCTCCTATTTTGACAGTTATTAAAATTTTATTAATAAATAAAAATAAAAAATAAATTTTTTGCAACTCAACTTTTTATTGGCCTTGCCAAGAGGTGCCAAGGGTGTTAAGATGCGAAATTCCTTTTAACTGGCTAATTTCATTTTCACAAAATTATGTTGGTATGTCACGTTATCGCCGGTGTGTTAGATTTGACTGCGGCCAACCCTGATATAATCATTGGCAAAAACCAGTATTAATATTAAATTAATATAGTCGGCTGACACTTATTACAACGAATTATCATTTTTTACCTTTAATGTTAATATTGTTTCGTATAAGTCACATGATTTTTACAATAATACCAAAATTGTAGTTTCGCGCAATAAATTTTAATCCATTCACACAAGGATTATTCTTTGGAGAAAATTTCTATTTTTAAAACTATTTTTGAATAAAATCTCCATAAAGTTTTATTCAGCATTGTTTTATTTATTGTTTTGGCAATTCCAGCTTGTGTACATTTTGAAACTTATTTATTGTAAACAAAAATAATAGAAATTATTAATATTAATAATACCATAATTATCATTGTTTAAGTCACAAAGAATGTGTTAAATAAGTAAATAAATGTCCATAAAACGTCACATAAAGAAATAGTAAAACACAAAACACAACAGACACGACATTGTACGAACTAGCACATATACGGATCTCAAAAAAGTAACAAAAAAAAATTTCATATAAATTGGGCGTTGCTACAAAAAATTGTTTTTTTTTTTTTCTTTGGACAATTAATTTCTATTATTATTTAATAAATTATCATCTTTTTTTATCGATATTATCGATAATAATATTTTTTTGTGTGTGTATATATAGAAGAGAGCATTTTCCAAAGAAATTTTTTTGGAAATTCCACCATATATCATCATATAGGGTTTTGATAATTCCTTTTTTTATATATAATTGTAAATAATAAAATAATAAATAATATAATAATGGACTCCTCAGGGAAGAAGAATCCATTACCAAATTGCGAGTAAGTATTAATATAGTTGATATAGGCGGATTTTTTGTTATGTAGTACAATAGTTTAATGGGGTATCTTTTTAAGCTGTTGTAAAACGACCCATATTAATATAAACATTTTTCGAAAATTTTTTTAGATGGACAGTGACAATTTCAAATTGTGTAGACCAAAATTATTACCAAATAATATATAATATAACAATATATTTATCATTAATAGTATTTCTATGTGCAGTTGGACTATTATCATGGCGTAAATACAGTAAACCAGAGGCAAAATTATTTTGTATAAAAGGGTTTTTGGCAATGGAAGGATTTCTTTTCACTCAAATATTTTGGGGCATGTGTAAGTAACAAAATATTATTATTGTCACTAAAAAACCATTTAAAAAGTGTTAATAACAATAATTATCTTTTCCATTTCGTTTATGATAATTACACAGTACGAGTGCTTGATTGTTTCATATTGATATATGATTACTTTCCGAAAAATATGATATTGCGAGAAATGTTATTTACCGTTTCTTGGTTATTGGGTTCAATATCAGTAACAACATATTTAGCCGGTATATTAAGAACAATACCAAGAATGCATTTCTATCGACAAAATCCAGAATATAAAACACTTTACCTACCAAGTCTTCAAAACACAACTATCATCTACTTTTGTTATATATTCACAATAGGAATTACACTCACAACATGCTCATTTTTCATCGGCTATTTGGAAACCAACCCAAATTCAATAGTGATAGCATACGTTTTGAAATCTGTTGAGTTTAGTGTTTTTGCAATTTGTTGCTTCTTGATGTCATTTGGATACATAATATATGGTAGTAAATTGATCAGTATAGCAAGTGAAGGTATACACTTATTGGAAGGTGTAAATGATTATCAAAGTCATATTAAATCAAAAAATTCTCGTAATACTACTCATAGTCTATCAGGATTAGAATTGGAAATTAAACATAAAAGATTAAAACGTAGTGTCCGCAAGGTAGTTACCAACAATAGTAAATGTTATTGCTTACCCAAAAATTACATATTTACTAATGAAAAAATTTTATTTTTCTATAATAAATCTAGATGCGTATAATAAATATGTCATTTATTTCTTCTATAATAATTTTAGGAATAATATTGGCTGCTTCTGCAATCTTCTGCAAACAATTATATGAAAACCTAATCAGTAATAAAGTATTTGCTGCATTTACTAATTTATTTCCAATGCTAGTAAACGTTGCTGTAATGGCAGGAATAGCATATGGGTAATTAGTAAATTTATTTAATCTTGATTTATTTATTAGTTAAATTAGTTAAAGAAGGAAAATATTAATTTTTATTTTATTTTATTTTAAATAGTGAAATGACAGTTCATAATAAATATGAAATAGGTTTTGAAAATAATATTACTTCTTCCATATCAACAAATAATCCACTTCCACCAAGAGAATCAATTGAGACAATAGCTGTTCATACGAGAGATCCTTCAACTGATTCAGAATCTCCTTTACTATTATTGCCTCCACCTGTGATCTTGTCTACAATGTATCATCATAATCATTATGGCGGTAGTGGTGGTAATAACGGCAATGGCAACCTTAGTAATAATATTAGAAGTAATAATATTAGCAGTAACGATCTTAGAAGTAATAATAGCAGAAATGATATTAGCAGCAATAATATTAGCAGAAATGATATTTACCGTAATAATAATGGTGGTAGATCTTCATTTGCTACAACAACAAGTTCTTTAAATTCACCAATAAATTCAACTCCAATGAGAATAAATTATTCTTATATTTAATTAGATTTTTTTAAAACATTTTTATATATACACATAAAAAAAATTAAAATTTTTATATACACAAAAAAAAATTAAATTTATATACACACACAAAAAAAAATTAAATTTTTTTATACACACAAAAAAATCACAAAACAAACTTTTTTTCTTTCATTTTTAAAAAAAAAGAATAATTTGATTTATTTTTTTTTTTTTTTCAATGCCCCAACACTCGTAATTAATTGTCCCACCTCTTTTTCGTATATTTTATAATTATAACAATATAATTCATTATTATTTATTTATTCTATTTATTCATCAATATTCATTAATTTTCAATTATATTTATTATTATTTTATTTTTGTCCTTAATAAAATAAGATAAAAAAAAATTTCTTTGCGAAATTTTCTTTAATGAAGATAAAATTTAAAATGTTACACGATCTTTCATCTTTCAAATTTTCCAAATTATTAAATAATGTACATTATCCAAAGAAATTTTACATCATTATCATTATCTAAAAGTTCTAATATATTCAAAAATGGTATAAATAAATGAAAGATCTAAAAAATTGAAAATTTTAATGTTTTTGTATATTAATAAATTAATCCTAAACATCCAAATAGTATCAAATAGTTTTTTGATTAGAAAAAAAATGTTTTCAATTTCGCAAAATACATTTGACTCTGTTAGCACAGATTGGCTTGCTGAAAATATTGATGATACAGTTATACCAGTTGATGGATCATGGTATATGCCAAATGCTAATAAAGATCCACATAAAGAATATTTGGATAAAAGAATCAAAGTAATTTTTATAAGTTTATTTTGGGAAAAAAAATTTTTTTCCTGTAATAATCAATTATTATCATTATTATAGAATGCAAGGTTTTTTGGAATAGATACAATTAAAGATAATGATACGACGTTACCACATATGTTACCATCAGCTGAAAAATTTGCTGAAGCTATGGGTAATTAATACCTTGATCTTTTTAAAAACAAATTTATTTGAATAATTTATTTGATAAATTTGGCGGGCTTTTTTTTTTAAAAAAAAGGTAAATTGGGAATTTCTGAAACTGATTATATAATTTGTTATGATGCTATTGGAGTATTTTCTAGCCCAAGAATTTACTGGACTCTTAAAGTAAAGTTATTATCATTTCATTATTATTATTATTTTATAATTATTATTATTAAAAAAAAATCTTTTTTTAAAAAAAAGGTTTTTAATCATGCAAAAGTGTCTTTGTTGGAAGGTGGATTACAAAAATGGATTGATGAAAATAAGCCATTAGATAACGGACTACCTTCATTTAAAGTAAATAAGCAAATAAATAAATAAATAAATAAATAATGGCTTAATTGATAATTTGATAATAATAAAATTTTTTTAGCCTAAAGTTTATAAAATACCAGAAGTAAGAACTGACCTTATAAGAACTTATGAACAAATAAGAAAGAATATTAAAGAAGGACCTGATTCACCAAATTATGAACAACTAATTGATGCAAGACCTGAACCAAGGTGACTTTTATTATTATTAATTAAATTTTATTATTGAAAAATCATTGATTATTCATTTTTTGTTTATATTAGATTTAATGGGATAGCTCCAGGTAAAATAATAATAATAATAAAAATAATAAATGAAAATATGATCGAAAAAATTAAAATTTATATTAAATAGAACCAAGACCTGGATTACCTAGTGGACATATGCCATATTCAATATCATTACCTTTCGATAAAGTGATTGATCCAAAAACCAAACGAACATTATTGGATGATGATTCATTGAAAAAATTGATCGAGTCAAAATCAATTGATCTAGAAAAACCTATCGTATTAAGTTGTGGTAGCGGTATAACTGCATCTATATTGTATGTTGCTTTAGAAAAATTGGGAGCAAAAAAACTTTCTGTTTATGATGGGAGTTGGACTGAATACGCTAGTAAAGAAGATTCTCCTATTGTTGGAAAAAAATAAGTAAATAAATAAATATTTGACATTGAAAATCAAATTTTGTCACCAACACTTTTTTTAAGAATTAAAATCTAACAAAAAAAAAATATCAATGGTTTAAAATTCGTAAATTTCTTTCAATTGTACTTTTTCTTTTTCTTTAATTTTCATGTTTTTTTTTCAAACATTCATCACGTACGTTATTACAATAAATAAAAAAAAAAGATTGTTTACGAATAATATATTCTATTCTACCAATTACCAAATAAATGTTGAGACAAACCCGTTTTACTTCACCTAGAGGTCTTTATGATTATGATGATTATGATAACAATTCTTCAAATGATAACGCTGCTACTTCTTTAAGAAATCGAAATGATTCAATGTTCTTCTAATCCATCAGATATTATCTTCCGAGTTAATGACAATTGATTTTTCCGAGTTATCAAATTTTCACGGAGGCAACAGCATTGTTATTAACAATAATAACGGCCATCAAGTCTAGATCTTAAATTAATTAGATCTAGGTCTAACACTTTACATACTATTAATCATAACAACAGCAGCAGCAACAACAACAACGATAATGCACAAAATTCCAATTATCATGGTAAAGAAAGATCTTATAAATATATAATATATATATGTGCGTGCATTTAATTATAATTAATAAAGGAAATTAATCAATATCAATGACAAAACAATTTAATCAAGTCCAATTTGTTTAGATATTATAAAAAGGGTCGTTGTGTCATTCTTATTGGTAAGATAATAAATTGCAATTCTTTTTGGAAATATTAGATATGATATTCACTCATAATCAGCATGAATTAATCTTTACCATAACCAATGTTTCGTAACTCCAGTCCCGAGTCCACACAATTCCAACCCCAACTTAGTCCTCATATTCAACTACTGCTCCTTCCACCCAATTTAGTGAACCTCTATTAGAGTTGTTAGGCAGATGCACCAAGACTAGACACATTATGTGACAGGTGCTCAAAAAACCAGCTTTAGCAATGTTAAGAAAAAATCATCTAGGCTACAAATTAACAACATCTTGTTGCTGATCATATACACGAAATATCTAATAATATTGTGTCCAATTTGAGACTTTTTCTTTTTTTGTCTTGATAATCTAAAGTATCTCTGTCGTTATTATCTTTTTTTTTGTTAAAAAATCTACTATGTATCTCACGTACAAGCTTATTTGTAAAGGGCCTTTTTCATTGGATGTTTTCTGCCTACATCTAATCTTTGGTTAATTAAAATATTTTACTTATTTTAAAAATAAATAACGTTACAGGGCTCGGAACTTGTTGTCCTCGTTTAATCAGAAAGGAACTTTTCTATTTGATCCACTTATTACCTTCTTCATAGACATGGATTTATTATATCGTGTTTAATATTTAAATAATGTGCAAGTGGGTGATGACTAAATAAAATTTTATACTTGGTATATATTAAAAACAGGTATTGTCAGGCGATCTTGTAGATCTTTGCTTGCTTTCATAATTCTAAAAGTGGAAAGAAGAATGATGATGTAAAAAGTTGAAGAAATAAATTAAATTAAGATTCAAATATAAAAGAAAAAACGTAATTTTGAAGACGGCAATCAGGTAGACTATATATCAAAAAAGAAATTAAAACGTTTGAGCTTCTAGAAATTTTACTGTGAAATTATAGAAATTTTTAGAACCTTAAAAAAAGAAAATTCTTCTGAATTAGCCCGGCTAGCTCAATTGGTAGAGCGTGAGACTCTTAATCTCAAGGTTGGGGGTTCGATCCCCCCGTTGGGCGCGTTTTATTTTAGATATCAAAAAATAAAATTTTGCCAGCAATTACATTTGGTTTTATTTACATTGTGTATAATAATAAATATAAATCACCATGTAAACTCGGACGCAGCAATTACTAAAATCCATAGTTTGCTATTAAAATTTGCAAGTGAATGTTCAACAAATCAATATATATTGATTGCGTCATTGTTTTTTCTTAATTTCGGTATTCAACCTTAATTACCTAAACAAGATGGAAATGGCAATGTTAGATACTTTGTGATTATTGTGGAGAATTGCAAAGCGGGTATAAATTATATATATTAATATATAGTTGTAGCATGCGAAATTCGTAGAGCTGCCGATTACAATGGTAATAGAAACTTCGAAGTTCATCATAGTTGTTTTTTTTTTATTTTTTATTTTTTGAAAATTTTATTTAATTAATATTAAGTTTGTTTTGTGTGTATTTGTAAGATGTAATAGTAATACAAAATTATTATTCTTCATTCACGTTCGACAATCCATTATGTCAATTTATATAAAATTTTCTTTTTTTTTTAAAATAAAAAAATAAAAAGCTAATAAAAAAATGGATGTGAAAAATTTTATTGATTCAGCGCTTCATAGACTACCACAACCAGAATCTCATGAAAAAAAAGTAAGAATTAACAATAAATGAAAAAAATTGCAAAAATAGTAATAATGATAACTACTTTTTTTTCAAAACTATTTATTAGAAATATTATAAAATTGGAAAAACATTAGGTACGTGAATTCCATTCATATCATCATCACTATTATATATATTAATTAATCGATTAAATTTAATTGTTTTTATTTAAATGATATCTTTAGGTTCAGGAGCTTATGCGTCAGTAAAAGAAGCAGTAAAAACAACTACAGGCCATAGAGTTGCGATAAAAGTTATTCAAAAACGTAAAGTAAGGAATCAAGAAGCCATGGTTTACAAAGAAATGGAAATATTATCCAAACTAGACCATCCTAATATTGTGAAATTTTATGATTGGTTCGAATCAAGAGATAAATACTATCTGGTATTTGAACTGTATCCTCACCAATTAACCGATTAATTGATTATTATTGTTATCATCATCATCACCATCATCATCATCATTATCATCATCATTATCATTATCATCTACTACTACAACTCTACCCGCTATTATTCCTTATTAAGTGCGACAGGTGGAGAATTATTTGAAAGATTGATTGATGTTGGCAAATTTACAGAATCTGATGCTATAGAAATTCTCAAGACTATACTTGGAGCTGTCAAATATCTTCATGAACATAATATTGTACATCGAGGTAATGATAAATTAATACTTAAATATTTTAAAATATATCCATTTATCTGCATAATTTATTAATTGAATTTGTTTTTAGATTTAAAGCCTGAAAACTTATTATATAAAAATAAATCAAAAGATTCACCACTTGTTCTTGCTGATTTTGGGTAATAATTATTATTATTATTATTACTATGCTTAATAAATAATTTTAAATAATTAATTTCATCATCATTATTATTTATTATCATTATTCATTAATAAAGTATATCAAAAATTATAGATCATGAAAACGATATCATGTCCACACATTGTGGTTCTTATGCCTATGCAGGTAATTAATCATAAATATTCGATTATTGTTAATCAAGTAATATTATAATGAATAATTTTAATATTTATTATAAATAGCACCAGAAATTCATAAAAGAATGACATATTCAAAATCAGTAGATATTTGGAGTATTGGGTATGCATTTCTTATTGGTGAACTATATATTATAATAAAATAATTAATATAATGATTTAATTTTTTTAATCTCATTGACAGAGTCATAACATATTATTTGTATGTAGACATATTATAATTATATTTAAATTTATTTTTTCAAAGGAATTTGGTTTTTGAAATTCTTAAATGAATGTTGTTTAATTGACAGATTATGTGGTTATCCACCATTTCGTTCAGAGGATCATGCAACACTTTTTCAAGAAGTGACAACAGCACGCATAAAATTTGAACCACGTCATTGGAAACATGTTTCAGAGGATGGTAATTATTCTAATTCATAAATTTTTCGTACGCATGTATTTTAACAATCAATTTCTTTAATTTTAAACATTAGCCCAAGATTTCATTCTTGATTTGTTAAGATTGAATCCAAACAAACGACCTACAGCAGAAGAAGCATTGCATCATAAATGGTTGACGGGTAAAAGTACATCAGATATAGATTTGTTTGGAGATATTATGGAGAATTTCAATGCTCGTAAAACATTTCGTAAAGCAGTCGGGGCAGTACAAGCAGTCAATAGACTTGAGAAGAATAAGAAGAACAATTCAGCTGACAACGATACAAAAAGATTTAGTAGTGATTTTGAGAAAGATGACGGATATTACGATGATAGTGATGCTAATGTTGATGATGTTGATAATTTAATAATAGAAGAAACATATGAAGACAATCAAAAAATTGCAATTGTATAATGATAATAGTCTTTGCATCTATCTATTCATTTTTTTATCGTTACAACTAGAGTGATAAATTATTTATTTTGGGAAATATTTGCCTTTAATTTTCTTAATGTATTACATTTATCGAAAGACTGGGTTCAAATTCTACAACCAAATATATTTAACCATATATATTTATTTATTTCGAAATCAGGAAATTGCTTGAATTTTGTAAAAATGTTTTGTCAATTCACTCTTCTTTATCTACCTACCTACCCTTTCTTTCTTCTTTTGAAGACTTCAATATTAAAATGAAAATATAAAATTTATTTCACACACCCCAAACGATACACATCAGCGTATACTAATAATATAGAATTTTACGAATTCTATGTGTAAAATATAAATTGCAAATTGTGTAACAAACTTTATATAATGAATTCAAATATCATTATCTAATTAAATGCCCTTCTAACATATTATATAAAAACCATTATAGGTTAAAGGTAATTCTGGCATAGTGATCCGACGATAGATTACGGAATGCCCTTTCCTTCTTAATATTTGATATTCGAATTTGAGCCGTAAAGCCTTTGTTCTGAATTTGAAATGGCTTCTCTATCTAAAGAGGCTATTTATGTAAAGCTATAATTATTCAAAGCATCATTAATTATCACTTCAAAACTAATATTTTTTTTCAATATAAACTTGATGAGCGATTGAGAAGATGTAAAATATTATAAGCCTTCATATGGGTATAGCTTTATGGTAATTGTTGAGAAAGCGACCAAATGCGACAGGTTTGTGCATGCATACATGATATCAATTTTTGAAATCGAGATGCCCTTGCAAAAATCGAAATTCGGAATCAATGTTGTGACTTTAATCTTTTTTGAATTCCCTAAACAGTTTCGGGAGAGAGAACCTACACTAAACTTAAGCCTAAAACACACCATAAAATTACCCTAGGCTGATTTCTGTTTCGGGTCACAGCATTACAGTCAGGATTATTACCAAATTTGGAAATCGAATCTAGAAAAATTGGAACTCCTTTGTCGATCAATTCATATGTG